TTCCTGACACTAGATGGCGCTAGTTGACTTATTCACGCAACAGTATTTTCGCTTTTATATTATTACTATACCATATACTACAAACTATGAAATAATGGTACAATTAGTATAAGTATACTACAAATCCGACCCTGGTTACGTGTTTTGATATGACGTTTGTATTATGACAGATGCGCTACTTTTACTTGTATGAAAAAGTTATGAGTAAAATATTTAAATGGGCATATCCTTCCTTTTCAAATCATTGCATAAAAAATGGTACATTTTTGGTCTCATAACATAGTGTGTACATGCATGTTTTACCGCTTTATCGGTATGCAAATATTACGTCAACGTGCAATTTAATAATCAAAATTAGAAAAATACAAAATTACAATATTACTTCATCTTAATTTGAATAAAACAGTAAAAGAAAGAAAAAATATGCAGGCATGGTCATATCATAATGCATAATGTCAAACTATTATAATGTCAATCTTACAAACCTTAAATCATTTGTCAATTTAAAATTTTATACATCAACAACAATTCGCTTGAGGTGACTGTCACGGCAGAATTTGATAAATTAATTTATGTCATAAAAACAATTTTCAATCAGAATCCCGAAAATAATTTTTTTAAAGTTTAAATGTCAAGTTATGAATATGGTTCGGAAGTAAATTAAACAGTCGAACGCACATGCTATAACTATTTCTAGCAAAACAAGTTGTGACTGTCTGGGGCACAGATTACTTCCACGGGTACCTTCTTGTACCACAACGATCATTATATATATTACTCTATTAATTTTGCCAATTCTTTAGCTAAATTGATTGATCTAACCTCGCTCATAGGAGCGTTCTCTGCTAGTTTGCCTGGTTGTTTTTCATTATCTCTCAAACTATGGGTGAGAACATGCTTTACTTAAAGAGTAAATTTTGTCTCCATAAAATTGTCTTAATGATGAAGTAACTTTATTTCGTAATGATTAATATGCCATGCTTAGAAACAAAAAGACTACATACTTAAATGTCTTTGCTTAGAAATCACATTTTAGTTTTCAATATTTTTTGTCATATTATTACACATTATGTATAGTAACTTATGTATAAGAAATAGGGATATGGTATTCTGGACTTCTTTTAGATGGAGTAGATATCTATATTTGTGTACAACATTACATTTGCCAGCGCACGCGGATAAACCATTTCAGGGGCGCTTTTTCTTTTGACTTTCTTAACAAAAATAAATATTTAAGGCTATCTGAAAGCTACCCATGAATCTGGCTATAATATACAAGAATAATTTTTCAAGTCGGACTAGTATTTCCAGAGATTAGCGTGTTTAAACAAACAAAAAAAAAATACAAAACAATTTCCGCTTTATTATACTAAAAGTATAGATTACAATTTAAATAAAACATCGATTTTTTGTTGGCCTTTCGGTTTCGCTTTTACAGACACTGAATAAGATATATGGTTGAATTATGTCAAATGCCTGTAATAAAGAGGTAACATAAGGACTTTCAGCTCATTTGTTACTACATGGATGATAATAGCCGCTGGGAAGGAGCTGATGTCTTTTTTATAGGACAGGGTGACAAACGAGCACACAGTCCACCTGGTGGTAGGTGGTTGTTGAAGCGCATGGACATCTACATCTATCCTCGATTACGAATCAAAATGCTTGCGTTGTCACCCGTGATGACTAAGATGGAATGAAATCTAAGATGGATGGAAAAAGGGTCTCCGGTTCTCTACACTCACCATACGAAACACAGCAGCATTAAGTTACTTTTTTACGCTAGTATTCTGCGAGAGCGTGGTCCTTCTCCGGTCGAGCCTACCCATTCATACTACAACTATACTTCTAATATAACTGCAGCATGGCTCTACCACGTATAAAAAATGTTAATTCTAATTGTTGTAAAAATGTTATTTATAATTTGATTGGTATACTTAATTAATTTTACAAAAGTAGATCATTCTAAGATTTCCTCTGTATGACTACAAAAATGACGATGATGATATATGATGATATATAATATAGATGTTATTTCTAAACTATAGCGGAAATTTTCGAATACTTCTAGGTGTCGGGACTCATTTTTTCTTTAGGAGACCGTCTGGGTAAGAGCAATCCTCTTAGCTATTTCTGTCAATAAATAGCAGTGTTTGCACTGTGGAGTGTAGCAATCCATCTTAGTCCTCGGAGGTGGCCTAATCTAATAAATAAATATAGCCTTTATTCATCCACACTCATTGTAAAGCTTGTGCCATAAGCTCCATTATATAAATAAGCTCATTTTTACGTGGCAGAGCTGTAGCTGCATTATGAATGCAGCACGAATGAAGTATCTTGACCATAGTGCTGTATTTCCTACGATTTCAATTTTAATTCGATAATATGTGTAGGTCCTTATCATCGACACATCACTCCTTGATTAATTATTAATGACAATCTATCTTATACCTTTAAACGAGCAATTCTTATATATATATATATATATATATATATATATATATATATATATATATATATATATATATATATATATAATCGGAATCTCGGAAACGGCTGCAACGATTTTCATAAAATTTAGTGTCCAGAGAGTTTCGGGGGCAATAAATCGATCTAGCTAGGATTTATTTTTAGAAAATGCCCCTTTGTCCGTGTTTTCAAGCAATAAAAAAATTGCTACAATATAAGAAGGTAAATTTTGACAGGTTACTAAAGATCGTAATAGCTCAGATGGGATGTTGTTCGGGCGTAATATCGGTGTTCCATGGTTCATGTCCCGTCTTGAGTCCGACTTTTTTTCCTTTTTCAAGTTCCCTTCTTTTGTGAGAAAATCTATTATTTCGAGCCCTTTTTTTAGTATTTTTAAAAATACGAAAATTTTAATTAATCTAATTGCACTCATGATTTTTTATTCAAATAACCAGTTCAGTTTTTTCTATTATGTCAATAAGATCAAAAACTATTATTCATGTAATTTGTATATAAATGGAACTTAAAAAAAACCGAGCAAAGCTCGGTCATCCGGGTACTTACAATTAAACGCCTGATTGAATTAAAACAAACAATTTGCAAATAAAAATGTATTTAAGTTTTATTTGTTTTTTACTGTCGTGTTTTCTAAAATGAAATTATTAAGCTATTGCATAGCTTCTATCGCGGGCCTTGAGCGCGGGGACCGAATCCAGAAATTCCGTAACGAAAAAAAAACCTCACGCTCCCCACTCCGACGGACACGGAGGTGTGGCGTTGAAAGCCGTGCATCGTCTAACGTCGTTTTAGTTCGGCAGACTTCGGCACGGTGTTTGTGTGCGTGTACACTAGCTGCTAACTCAATGATAAAAATTCCTGAATAACCTACATGTATTGTAAGATATTAAAAATATTTTAAACAATATTAACTTCTCATTTATTCAATAAGAGAAAAAAATTGTTTTCTTGTTGGTCACCACGCTCAAAAAGTGAAACTTGATTTAATATCAAAGACCTCACTGCATAAATAAAATAAATAAATAATTATAATTGCATAAGTTGATAAAAAATGCTATGCAATAGCTTTACCGCGGCAGTCACCGAGTGCCACACGTATTTTTTTATCTGTCCGAATACTAATTATGTTAACGCACATAACGGGAAGGACAGGGATTTAGTTACATGTTGTATAAATTTAATAAAGTAGGTGCATTAGTTTTTACAATTTTCTGTTTGTATTGTATTAATATTTACTGGTAAGGGAAAAAATTTGTAACACCCTCATTAAAAACACATGATGTCAAGTAGATAATAACAACGGTGATGTATGATTAGGTTATGGATTTCATAAAAGGGTGATAGTGAATAAAGGATTTGTAAAGGATTTTCATTTTGATTTGTAATCGAGAATAGGTGTACATGTCTATGGGCCTCAGCAACCACTTACCATCAGGTGGACTGTGTGCTCGTTTGACACCCTATCCTTTAAAAAAAGGAATCAGAATAATGTAGAATATTCTGAAATACATTTATTTCGCTATCCAAGACTTAAGCGCTTATGTAATCAGAAGGATCGTCTTTTATAATGCTAGAATGTTTGCTACTTTCGTAAAAGTCTATAAAACATTACTTTATTTCACAAAAACTGTATGATTTTATATATATATATATATATATATATATATATATATATATATATATATATATATATATATGTATATATATATATATATATATATATATATATAAATCAATATCATAAAATCTCTTTTTCCATATTTATCTGATTAAGTAAACATCGTTGCCCGCTGGCGACAACGAAACTGAATTTTGATAAAACAGATTTGATACAACGGTATCTACCTTTATTTTCAATCATCATATTAAGACGATAAACATGTTGCACGTTAACAGAATATTATCTATTGTGACCACAGAAATCGTAATAATAATATTACTATTACTATGACTTTGACCGTTTTGAAAAGGAATGTTAAGGACAAATCACTAAGCAAGAATAATAATGAGACTTCTTTTGATTAAAATAAAGGATTTTGATGAAATTTACTTATAATTGCAAGCAGCAATATGAACAATCATGTTAGCAAATTTCAGAAATTAATTTTGTTTTTAAATGATGCTATTTACCAAACACACTCCAAGAACACTCACCATAGGAAACGCTTTTATAGCGCTAACAAATGAACCTGGGCGAAGATTTCGGAGTTATATTTAATTACAGTGTTAAAAACAAGGGTGAACATACCCAGACACATCCAGTACCAAAATCTCAAGTATACAGTAATTTCATCGTTAAATGAAACTAATTTTACGGCTTTTATCAAGTTTAATTTAAACTTTTTAATTCCCGACGTTTGATTTTTCGTTTAGTTTAACGACTTAGCAGGTATTTAGCAGTAACTGGCTCTGGTATTTTTGCTAAAGTTACAAAGTGCGTATCAAGAAATATCTGATAATTATATAAATATCTGCATTCACAATAGTTTTTAATTAAAATACAAATTCATATATTACCACTTATCCTTTACGATGCTGTCTATGAATTTCGTCCAGCGTATATCAAATTCATGTAAAGCTTTATCTTTGTTAGAAATTTCGCTATAAAACAATGAATTTAATGCTAACTTCTTCAAAAGTCTTAGATCAGCATGTTTACTGGCAACACCCATGAAAGTAACGTAAAAATCATGCGACAAAATCTCAGCGTCCCATACACCTGGATCATCGCTGGATATTACTACGGGCATGTTTTGAGCTAATAATGATGCCAAAGGATGATTCCTAACGTCTTCGACAAGTTTAAGAACCGCATTTGATATAACATTAACTTCCAAAGCGATGTTCTTCTTTTTTACTTCTTCTAACAGTAAAGGGTGCTTAACTATAGCAAACGCATGACCAATACGTCGAGCTCCAAGAACTATTGCATCTGCTAAATTCTCATCAGAACTCGTTCCATACCAATTAGTTTCCCCCGCATGGAAAAAGTAGTTGATTTCATCAGATGATTTAATTAATTCAGCCAAGAAGTCCTTAATTGGTCCCCCTAAATCTTCTTGTCCAACTAAATCAAAACCAGCAAGAAAATGTGGCATTTTCCTTCTGATTTCTTTTGCGATTTCCACGTAGTTCTTTACAACTTCAACATTAACTAACCTTGACGGAGCATAAATTAATTTAGCACCAAAAAAATCGGGAAAATCTGTCTTAAACTTATCGAGAATTTTCTTATAAGATTCTGCAGTTGCTATTGAATCAAATACATTACCCTTTAAATCATACAGTGGAGGCAAAACACTACGTATTTCTAGATACATTATGTTGTCATCCCTTGCAGCTTTTAACGTGTCATAAAAATATTGTTCCCATACAGGTTTGTAAGAAAATAAGCCCGCAGTGTTAATAAAATAGTTCTGAAATTTATTCCAGACGACATTGATATTATTATAAACCTCTTTAGGGTTATCGGTCACGAGTGTAAAATATTTTTTTAATTCATTATCAAACTTTTCCGCTCCACTGGAAGAATATCTTTTATCTTTAACCAGTTCCCATTGGGTTCCACAAAAAGTAGTTGGTCTATCTTCCGAAAATAGAAAATTTACATTATTTTCCTGGAAGCAAACGTACAAATAGTCGCAGTATGTCAAATTTAAAACATAATCAGCTTTGAGTAATCCAGTATCATGAGCATGAAGTAGTGCACCTTTTGGCATCTTTTGAATGAGTTTAAATAATTCCGAATTCACTATCTCGGTGTTAAATTCAAAGAAATGCTTTGAATAATTGTAATACTGCGGATTTCTAAATCCATATTCTAACTCTTGTGTTTTTAATTCCATAAATATTTCATTTGCTTTCTCTTCACTGTCACTCAGCACAATATCACTTCCTAACATAAGATCCAGTTCTTTCTGTAGCAGATCGTTCCTGTCCTTGACAACGATATCAATATTTCCAGAAATTACAAGAAAAAGCATTGAGATCAACGTACAAACTAACACTAACCACTTTTGTAACATTATTAAATGCACGGCACGTCGATATAGTAATTTAAATGTCTTTATTTAGGGCAAGTTTGTTCTAAAGAAATATAGTCGATAAATAGAAAAAATCTCACCTCACGTATACGTCACAAATTGCAAACTGTTTTTGTCGTAAGGTGTTTAACATTTCAAATTATATTTATATAATACGTATTATGCGTGTTGAATTATCGATGTTTTTAATGATAAGCTGATAATGTTTTCGGTAAGTCCGTTTATTATACAACCTCAGCCACATTTGATAGGAAGATGCCTAATCGAATAGCTAATTCAATGCGCTGGATATTTAATAAATATCTATAGTGATATTGTCACGTACAAAGTAAGCATCTGCCGTTGTTATATAATTGCAAGTCAAATCACGCGACTTCGCCGCCTCGACGCTGTCTTTTTTATTTTCACAAATGTTATCTGTAGCAACAATAAACCTCCATAAAAAACTCCAAAAAGCCGTGGTAGCCCAGGAACTAAGCGCTCGCTATAAATTTCATAGTACGCGAGCAAACCAGGTTCGATCCTCGCCATCACCAATGAAATTGTTAATTGCAATTTTAAGTGCTCATTTATCACGCACCATTTACAAGAACACTCACCATAGTGAGTGTGGTTTGCAAGATGATGTTGTGACCAGGATTAAGAAAGGAATGCTTCGGTGGTTTGGTCATGTGGAAAAAATGAATAAGGAAAGAGTGACAAAGAAAATTTATGTTGCAGAAGTGAATGGCAGAATCGGAAAGGGACGTCCTAGGCGAAAATTTATCGACCAAATTGGCGATTTATTGAAAACGGGCCAAATTAGGAGTACCTTTACCGACGAGCATGTATGCGTAGGTATATGGATGTGAAGGAGGCGAGAGGTGTGTCAGGATCGTGCCAAATGGAAGTCTGTAGTCTCTGTCTACCCCTCTGGGTGACAGGCGTGAGTGTTTTTATTTTTATTTATTATTATCATTTACAAGACCTACGTCCGCTCACGGCTGACATACGCAGCGCTAGCATGGTACGCGCTGACATTCAGCGCAGGAGGTTGCAAGCCCAGCAGAATCTTGCACATAACGCGACTACACTTGCATGTCTGAAATATAAGAAACAAATATTTTGAAGACATGTCAAGTTTGCCAATACGCATTGGACGCGGCGGACATTTCCTTGTCCTAAAACCCTCTCAGAAATGAGAGGAGGCCTGTGCCCAGCAGTGGAGCGTATATAGCCTGTAACTATATTACCACCAACAAACTGTAATTAAAGTATGTCAAATTTTTAAAACACTTCGGAAAGGGGAAAACATTCATTCGTAGTAAAGTAGTATGAAGTGCAGGTGCTTCATTACCTCTGAGGACTAAGATGACACGCCTCGTTACCAGTAAAAAGGTCTCTGTTTCTCCTCAGAACAGCTTTTTATTAAATGCATATGAAAGTATATAATACGTTACTTACAACAAAATAACAATATTTAAAAATTTTGTCTGTCTGTTTGTTTGTTCCAGTTAATATCCGAAACGGCTCCACCGATTTTGACAAGATGTTCACTGGCAGATAGCTGATGTTATAAGGAGTAATTTAGGCTATTTTATTTTAGATCTTTTTCTATTACTTAAGATATTTTGCTATTTTATTTTAGAAAAAGAACAAGGGTTCCTCGCAAAAAATTAAAACTCACGAAATCCATGCCAATCGTAATAAATTCGCTGGGAACATCTGGTGGAGCAGCAAACGAACCGCAGCGAGACTCTGCTATGTATATCATCATCACCATCCGTGGTAAAGTAAAAAAATGACTTTCAGTAAGAATTACATACACGTGATCTATATTGAATAAAAAATATTCTATTCTATTCTATTCTATTTTCACAGCCCTTCACAAGTCATAGAACATAGGCCTCACCCAAAGAATGACACAAAGCACGGCCCTGAACCACCTGCATGCCCTACCAAGTCGTCACTTCACCTAACGGGGGACCGGCCGACACTTCGTCTACCGGTAGAAGGCTACCACTCGAGAACCTTCCTTTCCCATCGTTTGTCAATTCTTCGTGGAACTATACTTATTTAGGAATGGTCCAATATAAATTTCTCATTTTTCTAAAAGTATCACATTATTTGGAATATTTGATATTTTTTAACTACTTACTACTAGGTGATATGATTTATTTTCTGCCTAGGAATCCGCCCGAGTCTGACTATTTGCCAGCCCTAACCTATTTCGGTGGTTAAATAGCCGTGCTAGCATTGGTGTGTTCCCGTTTGAAGGGTATAGAAAGCCAAAATATAGGCTGTGAGGCAGGTCATACATCCGAGAAGACAAGGCATATATATGCAGCCATCTTTGTTTGAACTTGGTTGCAGGTGTCCATAGGCTGCAGTTGCCATTTACCATCAGATAGATGTTTGTCAATTCAATTTTATCTAAAAAAAATCTTACATTCATCGAATCATCATCATCATCATCATCATTACAGTCCTTCACAAGTCCACAGCTGAACATATGCCTCCTCGACGAATACCACAAAGTACAGTTCTAAGCCAGTATCCATCGACTTCCTGCATGTCTTAATAGGTATTCACTCCATGTAGTGGGGGGTTTACATGGTTTACACGAATACTAGACATTAAATAAAACGTATTAATTTATCTTGTATTCGTGTAAATATAAGAAATCATTACAAAATGTAATAATTTTTTAAATAAAATGGAGGCGACAAACATCCACCTGATTATAGTGCATATAGTTCTATTACAAGAGAATTTTTGATAGTCGTCTTAATAATGTACATCCATTATCCAAGGTAAACGATATTATGTTATTTTCATTAAATATTGTTTTAAAATATCCACACTCCAACAAAACATATGAATGTAACGATTTTTATATTTACGCGAACACTACACATTTAAATAAAACGAGGTTTTACGGATTTATGGCGTATTTTAGTAACTTTTTTATATTTTCGACGTTTCAATCGGATCAAAAATCAATAGTTTAATCTCTGGATAACCGCGGTCTCAAACTATGACATCGGGACTCGGGACGTCGAACACCTCAAGTCCCCCCGTGACCATAGGTTCTGTAAGGTGCTCGAAACGTCGGTAATACAAAAAAGTTAATATATGAGATATAATTCGTAAAAACTAGTTTTATTTAAATTTAAATTAATATTTGAAGAAATGCAGTATTTGAATGGTGAATTTAAGTTTATGACATAGGTCATCTCAAATTACAAATATTTTCCACAAACAATCTGACACTGTAACCTAATCTAGATATAGCGATGAGTAAAATGGGTTTGCAAACAATTGTATATTAAATCATTTACGTAAGCTATTGTTACGACCTGCGAACATCAGCATTGCATTCATGTCATCGTTAGGTATTTACTTATTATATTTTTTATAGGGGTGTCAAACAAGCACACAGCCCACCTGAGGTAAAAGGTTGCTTTAGCCTATAGATATCTACATCTAGCCTTGATTGAGGATCTAAATGCAGATACGTTGTCACTCCTGAGGATTAAGATGAAATGCCTCGTTTCCAGTAAAAAGGGTCTAAGGGTCTACACTCACCATATTTTTAATAGGATAGGGTGACAAGCGATCACACAGTCCACTTGATGGTAAGTGGTTGCTGTGACCCATAGACATCTACATCTATCCTCGATTAAGAATCAAAATGCAGATGCATTGTCACCCGTTGGGACAAAGATGGAATGCCTCGTTTCCAGTAAAAAGGGTCTAAGGGTCTACACTCACCATATTTTTAATAGGATAGGGTGACAAGCGATCACACAGTCCACTTGATGGTAAGTGGTTGCTGTGACCCATAGACATCTACAACTATCCTCGATTAAGAATCAAAATGCAGATGCATTGTCACCCGTTGGGACAAAGATGGAATGCCTCGTTTCCAGTAAAAAGGGTCTAAGGGTCTACACTCACCATATTTTTAATAGGATAGGGTGACAAGCGATCACACAGTCCACTTGATGGTAAGTGGTTGCTGTGACCCATAGACATCTACAACTATCCTCGATTAAGAATCAAAATGCAGATGCATTGTCACCCGTTGGGACAAAGATGGAATGCCTCGTTTCCAGTAAAAAGGGTCTAAGGGTCTACACTCACCATATTTTTAATAGGATAGGGTGACAAGCGATCACACAGTCCACTTGATGGTAAGTGGTTGCTGTGACCCATAGACATCTACAACTATCCTCGATTAAGAATCAAAATGCAGATGCATTGTCACCCGTTGGGACAAAGATGGAATGCCTCGTTTCCAGTAAAAAGGGTCTAAGGGTCTACACTCACCATATTTTTAATAGGATAGGGTGACAAGCGATCACACAGTCCACTTGATGGTAAGTGTGTGCTGTGACCCATAGACATCTACATCTATCCTCGATTACAAATCAAAATGCAGATGCATTGTCACCCGTTGGGACAAAGATGGAATGCCTCGTTTACAGTAAAAAGGGTCTTCGGTTCTCTACACTCACCATACGAAACCATGAATGCCATCCAGCATTTACACTGGTATTCGGACCCATTCGTGCTACAACTATACTACTAGTATAACTACAGCATGGCTCTATCACTTTTAAGAACATTTTGTTTACCATATGCATTTAGCTTAATGTTCTTTTATTTTGTGTAAATATTACTTACTTTTTTATTTTTAGATAGCTAAAAAAATATATAAATATAAAACCAAACAAAATAAAACACTTTATGTATTTAACCCGATATATATCATTGCTTACTTCATGCTGTTCTCTGTCAGTCCATAACAATCACCATCTATGGAGAATTTTCCATAATTCACTAGGCTTAGCAATTTTAGTACCAGATATATATGGTATATTCACATCTTGGGGTATGCCCAGAAAGATAAGGTTATTGAATTCCCCCAAGTCGCTATTTAAAAATCTTTTTTTCTC